TCCAAGGCATTGGGATTTCCTTTTGAACCATACTAGTTCATCTAACCAGGGTAAATTGCCATAGCAAAAATGAAGAAATGCAGTCTACTTTCAATCTATGTAATGGCCTCCTGAACACAAATGGAAGTCAAACGCTCTAGTTCTCTAAAGAAAATGTATTTTAAAAGATATGGTAATGCTTTAAAAGATACGGTAATGCTTTTTAGTGCCACAGAACTTAACTGCTGGTTAAGCAAAAATGGGCTCTGAAAAAACAAAGATTCCTCTAAGGAAGTTTAAGTAGACCTTGCCTTATAAAATGCCAAAGTGCATCAATGTGAAAACATGAGGCAAAAACACAGAGAAAAACCATACCTACTGTGATAACCCTTAAAGTCAAAGGAATAGATAAGAGGAAGCTCAGTATAAAAGCTTCAAGAACCAGCTACAAATTAAGTAACCATATTCCCCACAGGAAAGCTATACAATAAATCACAGGAGGCATCAAAACAGCTGCTGATCCTCTAATGATAAAGTCCAAGTTATTAAAAAGTCTTCATGAAAGTTTCACTATTACCAGAGGAACAAGCACTCAACACTAAGAGAATTATGGCTGCACCTTGAGTCAGAAATCTGGACACTAAGTGTTGGTATAAAAACTAGTCAGAAATAAAAGGCAATTAAAACACCATTTTAAAGAAATTAAAACATTTCTGGACACACATTAGCTAATAACATAAACAGATAAGACAAAAAAAACCCCTCTATCCTAATCTCCAGGCTAAAACATAAGCACTACAAGGCATTTATTAAACGTACAGGTTTTCAAAGGCAAGCTTCTTAAATGACTAGATGTAACACACAGTGATCTTTGGCCTCAAAAACCCTGATTAATAATAATACATTTCAACCACTACGAAAGTGATAGAAACAACTAGAATAAAGTATTAGTGGGCTTCCTTGGTGGTGCAGTGGTTAAGAATCCACCTGCCAATGCAGGGGACATGGGTTCAAGCCCTGGTCCAGGAAGATCCCACATGCCATGGACCAACTAAGCCCGTGTGCCACAACTACTGAGTGTGCGCTCTAGAGCCTGCGTGCCACAACTACTGAGCCCGAGTGCCACAACTTCTGAAGCCCACGCGTCTAGAGCCCGTGCTCTGCAACAAGAGAAGCCACCACAATAAGAAGCCGCAACGAAGAGTAGCCCCTGCTCGCTGCAACTACAGAAAGCCTGCACGTAGCAACAAAGAACCAATGAAGCAAAAAAAAAAAAAAGGTATTAGTAAAAACCTACGTTCTCCTGAATGTTTATTTAATGTACTGTAACTGTTTCCACTCTTAAAAATTGGATAGATAAAAAATAATTTTAGGCATATTCATTATCGAATTCTGAAAACCAACTAATTTTCAGGTATCGTTGCCCACAAAAAAATGTGAATAAAAAATAAATGCCATTGGGCTTCCCTGGTGGCACAGTGGTTGAGAGTCCGCCTGCCAATGCAGGGGACACGGTTCGTGCCCCGGTCAGGGAAGATCCCACATGCTGTGGAGCAGCTAGGCCCGTGAGCCATGGCTGCTGAGCCTGCACGTCCAGAGCCTGTGCTCCCCAACGGGAGAGGCCACAACAGTGAGAGGCCCACGTACAGCAAAAAAAAAAAAAAAAAAAGCCATAATGTGAAATAATTTATAGGTGACAGCACTCTAGTAAGATCACCCCCCCACTGACAATACTGATTTATCAAATTCACTTTAAACATGCAATCTCATTATAATTTCATTCAAGGGTTAGGAGATATTTTTTCTTCCACTTCATTATTTTTCATCTACAACAGAAAAATTTCAAGATGAAGTTTCTTCCTCATTACCTTTGATTTTCCTAGAAAAGGGATTGATTTTATAGGGTACTATGTTTTGGGGCTTTACAATGTCTGAGACTCCCTGAAATTGTTTGCTAAAATTCTGTGAATGCTCCGACGTAGAACAATCTACAACTTCTACGATTTCAACTCTAAGTTTCCCAGTATATCATCCAGAGTAAACCTTCAGAACACACCCCTTATGTAACATTATGCTGTACAGTTTTGTAGAAAAGGACTTTACAAAATTTATTTATCTTTGGCCTTGTGTGGACTGAAGCATTATACTGCATGAGCAGAATTATCAACTACTGATACTCATGAATACCAGAATTAAAAAACTGTTCCAAGAATCAAGGCCTTCATTAACTGGCATCTTTGAACATTATAAATGTATTCCTGGAAATTTCTTCCTCACTCTTTATAAAACCTTCTGAGAAACCATATTTGAATAATTTAGGTAACTATTTTCCAATCTTTTTTAAAACTTCCACCAGATTATATGGACGGTACAACCCCATCAAGTAGACTTTATATCTTACCATTCTTTTTTTAGTAATTAACACAATGAAATTATCTTAAATTTATTATTGAAGACTATGGTACACAATTCTAACATATAAATACTTATTAAAAACTAATTTTTTAAAGTTCACCCTAATCTAATTTTAATAGTATCTATTTCTTTAAATGTCAAAGCTTTTACAAATGAGTAGACTACTAACTTTAACTACATAAGGAAAAAGTGCAAAAAAATGACAATGTGACATGTTTAATTCAGGTTTACATTAAAATGAAAATATGAAACTGTGTTATGTCAAATACTGACCCTCAAAACCCATTTTCATGATGTAGTTGGAATTCATCCTGTTGAGCTTTAAAATAAACTAGCGAAATTCTTAGAATTTGTGTTTTATTTCTAAGTTAAGATACAATTTCGAAAATTGTTATTTGTAGGCACCCCTCCCCAAACACTGCCTTGAGGAGTCTGGGAGAAGCCAAACTAGATACAAGGGTTAACACTTGTTTTGCTAATACAATTTGCAGATAGAG